GACCTGGATATACCACATTACTTACCACCCTCACCAGTCTCACTGCACATGGGAGTGGGCAATGGCAATACCTGGTATTTAAGGCAGGTTATGGGAAAACACTGAGGGTATGGGCTAACAGTTCAAATTATTATGTCCTTGGATTATATTTGTTGGAAAGTGAGGACTCTGCTGAAAAGTTTTCTTGGCTCTGCAGGTGGAAAGGAGACACTAATGGAGAATGAAATTATACAACTCATTATTATTTGTTTAATGTTTATTTGTTTATTTAGAGCATGAGAGCAAGCAAGTGGGGGAAGTGCAGAGAGAGAGAGAGAGAGTGACAGGGAGAGACAATCCTAAGCAGTCTCTGAGCTGTCAGCACAGAGCCTAATGTAGCGCTTGATCTCACGAACCATGAGATGATTACCTGAGCCAAGACCAAGAGTCCAATACTCAACCGACTGAGCCACCCAGGCGCCCCTCAATCTAACTTTGATAAATATCTTTCACACTTCACATAGGTTTTCTGTCATTTTCTGTGATGCCATGGTCCCTTGCCGACGTCTAAACATATTTGCACCAAGAGGTTGATATCAAAATAAAATACAGGGGCCTGGGTGGCTTAGTAGATTGAGTGTCCCACTCTTCATTTTGGCTCAGGTCATGATCCCATGGTCATGGGTTGAGCCCCATGTCAGGCTCCACATTGAGTGTGGAGTCTGCTTAAGATTCTCTCTCTCCCTCTGCCCCTCTCCCCTACCTGCAGGCGCTCTCTCTCTCTCTCTCTCTCTCTCTCTCTCTCTCTCTCTCTCTCAAAAGAAAAAAGCAAATGCACACACAAAAATATGAAACCCGTATGACTACATTTGACAGTACTTATTCATAATGGTACTTTAGGCTGGTTTACTACTACATGTAGCTAAATTATGGCTGACTCTGAAGGCAGCCCCATTCTAGCTGGGTGCACACTACTCCTTGGCCTCACCTCTAGGTTAAGCAGTACCTCTGAACTGGCACCATCACTGGGGGAAGGATGTTCGTCCAACAGGTAATAAAAGGAAATGGGACAGGGTAGTAAAAAGAACACATGCTCCTAAGTGGGTTGATTCCACAGAGAACCATGTTCTTTCTTAGGATAATATACATATTATTGAAATATGAAATCTGGTACTAACTAATGAGCAGTGCTACAGATATCCCTGTACCTTTGCTCAGAGAGAGAAACTTAAATTCCTGCTGATGTAAAAGCTCTGCCTAAAAACGCCACCTAGACACTTTCTTAAAAATGTTTATTTATTGAGTGGGGTGTTCAAATCCCCCACTAGTATCATATTACTGTTTATTACTCCTTTTAGCTCTGTTAGTTTTTGCTTTTTCTATTTAGACACTTAGATTTGGAGGAATAAATATTTACAGTTGGCATACAAAATGTTTATTTATTTTGGTATAGAGAGAGGGGGGCAGAGAGAGAAGGAGAGAGAATCCCAAAAAGGCTCTGCACTGTCAGGGCGGGGCCCAACACAGGGCTGGATCCCATGATCCATGAGATCATGACCTGAGCCAAAATCAAGAGTAAGAGGCCTAACCAGCCGAGCCACCCAGGAGCCCCTCCACCTAGACAATCGGGGACTAGAAGAGAAACTGTGTTCCTTCTACTTGTTATTATCTCCTTTGGTGAGGCAGGCCTGGAAAAAGAAACATGCCCCAGTCAAGTTTCCTTGTAAGCATCTGGTGAGAAACCTGTTGACAAAGATACTAATGGTGGTTCCTATTGGGAGAGGTCTTCCCTATGGCATGCTGAGAGCAGGAAGTATGTGGCGTGTGGAGAACTCTTCAGGGAATCAAACGGAGACTCTGTGGATTTGTGAGGCCTCGTTCCTTGCAACCTGTCACATCAGTTATGTACGTATCAGCACGGGAGATGGCCCTAAACAGCTTCATGCTGTGTAAGTGACGACCTCGTACACCAGACACCACACGTGGTCGACTCAGGCCAGAACACGTCCTGATGTGGGAAAAAGGTTCTCGCAGATAGTGTTACTGGCCTCAGACTTGCTGTTGCATTGCTTGTGCCTCCCAAGTTTTTCCTCAAAACTGTGAGTAAAACGTCATAGCACGTAAAGCGTACCATCTTGGTGGGCTGACGATGCAGCAGCCATTATGGCCAAACATGTTGGTAACATGGCTTTCATGACACGTGGGTAGAATTAACCAAGCAGATAAGAAGTCCAACAAAGCAATTGTATCTTGAAAACATACGGCCACTTTTGAATACCTACAGCCCCATACATGGAAACCCAGCCTGTGTCGCCTGGGCACAACCTTGTATTCTTCACAATGTACATTCACGGTCTCTAGGATGCAGGCTTGCCCCTGTGCACACACATGCGCGCGCGCACACACATCCATCTACCCAGACTTGCAAGCAAATCAGGTAGCAGTCCTAGAGTATCAGGTCCTAGAGTCTGTGAGCAACAGAAGCCTAAACAGCAGCCACTGTCAAGCCTCATCCACAGGAGACAGGCCCCTTTACATGGGTTCCTTGGCTGCCACTCCCATGGGAATGATGCTCCCCCACACCTCTCCCCGCCCATCCCACCCTCCTGGCCAATGGCCTGCTGGCCTACCAGGCAGGAAGTGATGTCATTACCCTCTAGGTTCAGGCCCAGTGTGGATTCTAAGGCCTCAGGCCTTGGATGCTCCCTGGTTGTGAGACCGGTGTAGAAAAATAGCTCTTGAAAATGAAACCATCAATAGTAGGAATAAGAACAAAAACAAAAAGATTCGCCAAATATATGCCACGGATATATTCTAGAAGTCAGCCAAAACTTTAAGGGAACAAAATGAAGAAAGACCCAGAAGGTGTGTCTGGTAAGCACAGATACAAGGAGTGGGATTTCTGGGTGAAAAAGAGATGTCATGTGAGTCTCTCACTCGCCGGGGGTGGGGGGGGGGGGGGGGGGGGCGAAGGAGTGGAGACCAGCACCCCACAGTGTTGTGGGAGGAGAAAGGAAGGGAAGGGCCAGGCACCCATGTGAAGGAGACGAGATGGAAGGAACCTGCCAATTCCTCCTTGTGCTTTACCGAGACCGCCAGGCGCCTAACCGAGTTCGGCTTTTGCTACACAACACGGACAAATGCATTCTGAACAGCATACGTTTCAGTTGGATGGGGTGAGGACGCCTTGATATTGACTAATTACTAAAATGTAGCATCTCCTGAACGTGGCATGGGAGAGTCCTGCGACGTTGTAGACAACAGAAGATTTTGTGATGCTCTGATGTCACATAGCTGTAGATACGGCAACACTGTTTTGGGGCTCCATGTCTTCTTTTTGTATGTTTGTTTTGAATTTCATTTTTAGTAATCTCTACACCCAATCTGGGCTTGAATTTACAACCCTGAGATCAAGAGTCACGGGCTTACCAACGGAGCCAGCCAGGAGCCTCATGGGCTCCATATCTTCTGAGGTGATGGAGTTAGACAAGGCAGAAGAGCCCAGAGTGGCAACTTGGGGCTAGAGAGGCCAGGGAGAGGATCAGCGCCTGCCTTTGGTTGGGTCAAGAGAGAGCTCATCATCTGCAACTGAAGGCTTGGAGCTTCAAGCCCAGCTAGGAATACTGGGTTTTAAGTGATCCCAGGCCCTGGGAAGCTACATGTGTGCTACACATTCTCTCTTAACTAGCTTCTTTCTTAACCTTATCCTTATCCTTAATCTCTATCTTAAATCAGATGTGGAGAAAAACATCCTGCCTGAGCGCCTAAGTTTCATGTTAGTTACCAAGGGGGTTTGGTGGAGAGAGTGTTTTATTTTCTTTTAGTTTTTAAGATAAAAATCAGGTCTGGAGCCCCAGAGCCTAGGCATCTCCCAGACAATGTAACCTTTCTTCCTGAGGCTGGGTGTTTACAGCTACTCATTCCTGGAAGGCCGGTGTTAATTCCTTTAAGCCAAATTGCCAGGAAGACACCTCTCACTAAAGAGGTTGGGATTTTTATTGCTTACAGCCAGAAAGAACACACCCCAAGGTCTCAATGAGAGGATCTATTATAGGATTTGGGCTTTGGTTGGTTGATGTGGGTGGGGGCTGATGGAAGTAAGCAGGGTTTGTTCTATATCGAAGCCTATTAGCATTGGACATTCTATGCTTGTAGTAAAGAAGCGATAGCATTTCCTTATGAAAAGAAGATGTTGGGGACGTTGTAAATTTCACTGTGACCTGGCTGTTGTCTGGCCTGAACAATATTGTGAGGTAGCCTTGTTTTGTCTCGTTTTATTAAGGTCTCAAAGCAGTCTTATCTCAGGTTGGTATTCTGTATCTCAGATCCTCGCTTTCCAGCATGAGAACAACACAGTCAAGCCGGGAGTGCAGAGTTCAGGGCATTGGGGGCTGGCCTTGTTCTTTCTCCCTGGACATCCCTAACGTAGAGAACAAGAAAAGAGAGCACTCTGGCCTCACAAGCTGTAGGTGCAAACCTGGTGGCAAAAGTGTGACATTGACGAAGTCTCTTGAATCGTTCTGTGGCTCCATTTCTCATTTCCAAATGGGTCAAAAGGAATGTTCCTACATGGGTTGTCCCAGGTGTTAAATTGATAGAGTAGGCAGCTGGACGGGAGCTGGAGGCAAGGGTGGTGGTAGAGAGTGGTTTTGTGGTTTCCCGCCTCCTGGGACTAGAAGAGCAGGGACACGGCATGTGCCCTACTTTCTAGCTTGTGTCCTACAATGCCCGATGGCTTCATCATAAAATATTGACCCTGTGGTTTTGATCCCCCGGGAGGGGAAGATGACCATGACAGTTCCAGCAACAACCTTGTAGAGCCAAAAACTGCCCCTCCTGACCGATAGGACAAGTTCCTTAGATGATTGGAAACAACTTCAGTTGGAGACCACACCAGCTATGACCCATAACCTCTGCAAACAGAAGACGAAAAGACACCCGTGACCCTGGTGCTGTTGCCCCTCTGGGCCTGCCTGCATTCCCATCTTGAGAATGTGCTGTCCTTCATCTACTGGCCTACTGTCCTTCCACGGGCTGGTAGCATACTTTGCTTTTATTTTCATGTTATATTTTAAGTAGGCGCACCGCCAATGTGGGGCTTGAGCTTCCAACCCCGAGATCAAGAGTCGCATGGTTTACCGACTGAGCCAGCCGGGTACCCCGTCACTGTCTTCATTCGGGCACGGATCCTCACGTCAGTCATTCACGGGGAATCTAAGCACTGAGCTCTCCATTCACACAATGCAGAATCTCCCACTGGTAACACTTCTGGTGCCGTGATTCAGATTGCTTAAGGTAAGATAGTCCTCGCCCTCCTGCTGCTAGAGGACTTCTGTCAGATGAATTTCTCGGATGCCTGCTCTCTCATTCTCCTTGCAGGTTTGCTACCCCTGTGTGCTGCATGATCTCACATTTTCTGATCCAATACTCTCGTGGTTCATGCTGATTTCTCTACCTTACAGTATACATTCTTCTCTTATTATACATGCGATAAATATGCTCCAAGAGATACTGAAATCATCCACTGAAGCGTATGTGACATGTGGTCAAGCTGGTTTTGGAATCTGGGCCTGCTTTTCTTTCTTTCTTTCTTTCTTTCTTTCTTTCTTTCTTTCTTTCTTTCTTTATTTTTAAAATTTTTTTTTCAACGTTTTTTATTTATTTTTGGGACAGAGAGAGACAGAGCATGAACGGGGGAGGGCAGAGAGAGAGGGAGACACAGAATCGGAAACAGGCTCCAGGCTCCGAGCCATCAGCCCAGAGCCCGATGCGGGGCTCGAACTCACGGACCGAGAGATCGTGACCCGGCTGAGGTCGGACGCTTAACCTACTGCGCCACCCAGGCGCCCCGGGCCTGCTTTTCTTAAGGCTGTGCTTTTGTCGCTTCAGCACAGACCCTGGATAGGGTTTGTTTGGAACTATGTTTGGGACTAGAGATCGGTAAAAGGCAGTTGTTCCTGATAACTGTTATTTATCTGCTTGACAAGAATTTACTGAACGTTTTCCCTGGCAGGCTCTTAATGGAGGTGCTGCGGAGACGGGATGAACAGGGCACGCAGAGCGCCCGCTGTCAGAAAGATGATTTTCCAGCCCAGGAGATCGGTGTCTTATAGATAACCACATCAATACATTTTAATATCTGCTGTGATGAATTTTACTTAATTGTTGAGTTCCTTGGGCCCATTGTGTCAGCCAGCCTTGAAAATCAACTGAGTATAAACTACAGGCCTGTAGAGGTGTGACAAGGAACCGTCCCAGGAAAGGTCCTTGCGACATTTTTGTTTTAATGGGGGGCGGGGGAAGGGGTACTGATGTTTAATCAGTGTCCCTGAAATTCAGATGTGGGTTCCTGGAGGGTGTGATAGGAGAGTCCAAGGGAAGCTTGCGGCCAAGACACCTGTTGGTGTGTCTGCTGCCATCAAGTGATGAGGAAGTTTGGGAAAATCTCCTCATCTCTCAGGGCCTCAGTTTCTTCCTCTGCAACATAAGGTTGTTATTCACTTCTCCAAAGTCCCTTGCCGCTCAGTCTCTCTGAGAGCACGAGGGACTGAGGTGCCTGTTAAACGTGTTCTGGGGACTGCGGCTGAGACCTGACTTGGTCCCTTGTCTGTGTGTCTCCTGCAGGAGCCCGGCTGAGCCCACACTGGAAACAGAGGACCGAGGGAGCCTATGGAAGACAGAAAATCAGCAGGTGTGGAGCATGAGAATAACCCGGAGAAGGACAAGGTAATGGTGGAACGGTGGTTGCCCAAGGACCTGAGAATACGGGCAAGTTGAGCTCAGAACAATCTGGAGAAACTGAGGAATGCGTACAGTAGCATCCAACCCTGCAGGGAGCAGCCTGAGGTGAGCAGTGAGGACTGGGGGTGTAAGGCACTCCACAGTGAACGGTGCATCTGCCAGGGAGCCCCACAGGACGGACGGGGGTTGGTTTGCACTGCCGGGAAGCACCGTTTCTAAGGGTAGGATGGTGTGACCATGAGACTCTGCCCCAGTCCCCGAGCTTCGACGTTGGAGCTGCCCTGACAGTGGATGGCCTCCAAGGAAGTGTGGGTTTGGAGGGATCAGTGGCGTTTGGATCAGATTTGGAGATGTCCATTCTTACCACAAATCGTTTTGCCCTAAGGGCAGGAGGGGCCAGGAGAGGGGACCCTTGCATCTGAAGTCATAATAGGAATAATATTCTTCTGAATTTCTGGTCAGGAGCGTGGAAGGCTTTACACATAATATCTGTTGACCAGTGATTTTCTTGACTATTGGTTGAGTGCTTCATTTTTCTGAGGCTGTGTTCAGAACTTGGAACTCAATACGATTTCCCGAGGAGGACAAAGCAGTGGGAGAACGATGCAAACACAATGTGGTAGCTCTCCTGCACTGGGGTGTTGTGTTGTGACAGAGCAGAGGATTGGAGTGGGGGGCCAGGCCCAGGACATCTCTTCCCAATGACAGAGTGAGCCATTGGGAGGAATCCCCGAGGAGAACCCCGTCTTCATCAGAGCTCACCACAGGGCAGTGTCCTGGGACATGGAGAGGGTAGGGCAGGTTCCTCTCTGAGGGAGGGGATTCGCTACCTCTTGGGAGAAAGCACATTTGTGACTGGAATGGAGTTGAGATGGTCAGAGATTGGCAGCAACTTGTATTTGATCAGTGAAAGGAAGTCCCTGAGGGCCTCCTCAGTGCTTGGCTCGGTGCTAGGAACCCCGAATACAGTGGTGAATAACACATTCTCCCAACTGTCCTGGGGATCTCAGTCTGGAAACAGGAAGTCATGAGAAGTGTAGTGGTGGTGTGTTCCTTGGAGGAAATGGCCAAAGCTGCCTGGCGATGACCTCGGTGATTGTTCTGGTCTCCCTCTGTGTTTTCCAACAGCTGGGTGACCTG